CAGCGACATGATTTTCTGCTCAATAACACTCGGGTATCGAGTGTCGGGGGTTTAGGGAGAAAAAATACTGGAAAGTGTGTTGGGGGCTCAGGGGCTTTTGATTGCATCTGGTTTTTCACGTGGAAATGCAAGAATTTTTCGGGGAAATTGAGTATAAAAATGCAATGATTTTTTTTGTGATGATTGGGCGAGGTGAAGGGAAGTTTCGGGTGCAGTGGTGAAACGACTGAATTTTATTTCAATTTTTCAATTGTGTTTAAAGGATATTTTTAGGTGAAACATTTGTTGGTTTTCATTCAATTCCAGAATTTTCGAAATTTGGAATTATCTCGTTAACAAGTAATTTTAGAAGAAAATGTGACAAGACATTTTCGTAGAGAATTCCATGATCTACAATAACTTTCTTGTACAATCTCTCCTTAAAACTACTCATTTCCGAGATAAATGCCAAAATAAAAAGCTAATGTATTCGATTCATCGTGATTCACCCAAAAATATTTCTCAAATGTAACTTTAAAATTAAAAAAAATATATATCTATGGGAATTTCGTCGTCGTTTCACCACTCCCCCCATAATTCCTCAAAATAAATAAATAAAAATGCTGAGAAAAATGATAAATTAAATAAAACCACTCAATTTTTACTCATTGAGAGGTAAAACGAAGTGACTCAATCATTAAGGTATATCCCAAGACAGTACGACTCAAAAGTTAGTCCCTACGGATTTCCCGAAAAAATTCTGACTTAACTAGGTGTACTGTCTTTCGAACGTTATCTCGATGTTTTTTTTTCATCTTTCGTCATCTGAAATTGTCAATTGAGTCCTGCATCATGCACAAGTGTTCAAAAATTATGAATGAATAATCAAAAAAAAGTAGAAGAAATTCTTAATTTTTTTAAAGAGCATTTTTAATTTATATTCAGAATAAGTTGAATAACAAGAAATTGAAAAATGTATCTGATTTACGATGACAAATGGCGGCCTGTCACCCAATATCATGCAGGGGGAAGACTGATTTCGTAAATCTTTTCCCACACTGCACAGAGACATTTATTACGGAAAAGGCTTTTTGAAAAAAGTTGTAATATTTTGGAGAATTTTTTAATCACACTTTTATCACATAAAATGGCAGATGACTACATACCACTGTTTTGAAAATTGAGATACCTAGCTGTCACTTCCCATGAGGAGTTAGTGTTTTATACCCCATGGAAAATGCCAGCTAATAGATAATTTGCCACAGCGAATCAGATATTTGTAATTTCCACTTTTTCCAACTCATTCTGAATCTCAATTAAAAACGCTCTTTGAAAAAGTTGAGAATTTTTTCTATTTTTTTTATCATTCTATCATAATTTTTGGGAATATCTACATGATGTACCACTCAATTGACAGTTTTGGATGACGAAAGATGAAAAAATCCAGATAACGTTCGAAAGATAGTACACCCGGGCCTTAATTAATAGCATTCCCATAACTTATTGAGTTATTCTGTCCTCATACATTGTTGATGAAGGAAACAACAGCTGTTTGAATTTAAAAATAAATTATCTCTTAATTGTTTGAATGAAATAATAAATACTTGTCATAATAATTCCTTCTCTCAGTGACAGGGATATACCTTAAAAAACCTAAACTCCCAATAATCAACGAAACCTAATTTACCTCCATAACCATCGACCTGACTTGCACTGCCACAGACACAATAACACCCAACACGATGATAATAATTAATTACATTAAAGTATCTTCATTTAACTTACTATAATCTACGGATGATAATACTATTATGATACAGGGATATAAGTACATTGGTTTAGAGATTGCAGGCTGCTCCTCTCATATCACATCGAGGGGCATCGCCGGGCCGGCCTTGTTACCTTACACTAATTACAATAAATCATTATCATTTTATCACTCGTTTTCACTGACATATACATCACTCTTAATCACTTTATACAGTACAGTTCATACTCGCACATCCATATACATCATATTTATATTGGGGGACGAGTGGGGCAAAGTGGAACAGCCGAAAAACGACAATTTGACGCAATTCAAGCAAAAAAAAATTTTTGACGTGGATACTTCCACGGTATATTGGAACCGTAGTACGGTACTACGGTTCCAATATGGGGGGTCATTTTGGGAAACGGTCCTTATGTGCAGCGCCACCTGTCGGAATTCGAGAAAATTCTAGACATTTCGAGGTAATTTGAGAAGTATTCTTGAAATTAAAAAAAAAATAAAAGGAGTTTCTACACTGAGAAAAAAAATTATTCTTGCCAAATATCCATTTACTTGACAGAAGTATTTATTTTGTCAATCCCATATTTCGAGTCATTCCCAGATAATCCTCATTAGGCTTCAATTATGACAATTATATTGCTCTAGGAGATGATCATTTTAGTTATGACGTTGGATGAACTCCCTCAATAATTATCAGCATTAAAACATTAATCAAAATTCTTTCCTTTAGAAAATAAGAAATTTAGGAAGAATGAATAATTATTGAAGGAGTTCATCCAAAGTCATTTACACCATAGTCGTCCTCTAGAGCAAATGATTGTCATAATTGAAACCTAATCAGGCTCATCTGGGAATGACTCCATTGGAGAAATTCGATTTTGAAAAAATAAATACTTCTCTCTCGTAAATGAATATTTGGCAAAAATATTTTTTTTTCTCAGTGTAGAAAATTCCCGAAACAAGGAAAGACCATGGACGTATCCACGGACAATTACAGCTGCATCGAAGATACAGCCGCCTGCAATTTTTTATTAAGGTCCGATTGGATTATCTTTTGAGTGTTATCTAGAGTGTTTTTTGTCGATTTTGTGAGTCGCCTGTCGACAGTTTCATTTTGCCCCACTCTCCCATATTTATTTATAGTAGATTGCATGCCAAATGGCCACGTGTCTTGCGGCCCAGGGGTTGACAATCCGGTGAAGCCGGTCAAACCCCTGAGGCTCAGTCTAGGCGCACTTGTGGCAACCCTTGCACAAACTAAAATCGCATTTCCCCGTTACTTTATTATATCGGTATCCTTGATTCATCTTACTTCAATTTAGTTAAAAAATGTCACTTTGTTGTTTTTGGAATTCAGTAAAACGATGTGGATTCGAGTAATCAAGGAATTAATTGAAAATTGTCGATGAGGTTTCATCCATCTTCGAGATTTTTTCGTTTCTCGCGATCATTAAGACTAGTGGGATAATAGGAACATGATGTCACCTCAAGCAATTGGATTTTCGGGGTATTTTTGCTTCTGAAGTTACCTTGGAATTGTTGTGAGTTGAAAAATGCCCGGAGGGTCTTTTTGGGTTATTTAAAATGCATTTTGTGGATTTGGGGGTGATGGGGGTGGGGTCAGGGAAAAACTGGGGGAATTTCCGGTTCAAAACTGTATTGATAAGCTATTTCATCTTCTTTGGATTTCAAGTTATCAAAAAAAGAGACTTTTTCTTTATCGAAAGGAAGTAATTGATTATTTCGATAATTGTGGATGTAAGACAAATTCAATTGTAGTGTTATCGAACGAAAATTTTCCTGACTTAATTATGGGAAACACAAATTCCACCTGTGACCCATCAATTTCGAGAAATTCCTAAAAATATTTTGTACAAGAAAACATTTTTTTTATTCTTTAGAATAGTTTTTTTAGGTGAAAAACTAATAATTATCTCCCCGTAGCAATTCCCCCATCCCTTTTCGCTAAATCTGGAGAGAATCACTGAAAACCCCGAGAAATTTCCGGCTCAAAACCCTACAACTATCTCTTATAATCTCCATTTAATCCCGGGTTATCAAAGAAAGAAACTTTTTCCTCCTCGAACCAAAAAATCGATTATCTCGATGATTATCGAAGCAAAACAGATTCAATTGTAGTGTTTTAGATCGGAAATTCTCCTGATTTCCTTTCGAGCGACACAATTTCCCCCCTGACCCCTCAATTTTGAGAAATCCCCAAAAACGTCTAGTACCAAAAAGTATTATATTTCCATACGAGTGTGTAAAAGTGTTTTCTGGCTCCTTGACACCTCCCAGGTGTCAAAAAACACATTTCCCACAGGGGTCGAACTCTATTTTTCATGACAATGTACTAAAAGTGTTTCGCCCCACGTGCGCATAATTTCACTTTCCGCAGAAGTGACAAAAACATTTTTTCATCACGCTGTGACGAAAAGTGAACTTTTCGGCACGCTCCGCGAGCCTAAAAGTCCAATTTCCGCAACATTGTGATGAAAAATATTGTTCGTAACTCGTGAAAAAATGTTTTTTGCACCCGTTACGAAATATACTATTTCATCACGCTGTGCGAAAAAGTAACTTTTTGAGCACGCTTCACATTTTTTTTGAAGAGAAAACAGTTGATCGTCCAATTGCTTGGAAAAAAATTTTGAGAATCGGAGAGCCAGTGACAAAATCAATGAAAGTGTATTCGTTACATTTTACCAAAGACGACTTCTTCACTCAACGGAAGTTCAGCTGAGAATCTAATGAAATTATTCAATTTTCTATTGCCAGTTGATATTTCTGTGATCACTCGTGAAATAAATTGACTTTATTCATTTCAATTGTAGGGGAAAATCGTAAAGCCGTTCACTTAAAACTCACAAGTGTCCCGTCTTGTAATTTGCCAAAGAGACAGCAAATCGGGCCAATTCTTGCATAGACACTTTCATGATCAAACTACCCGTGAAATGCCCACGAAAACCTTACAATTTTTAATTACCTGCTCACGCTAGTTCGAATTTCGGCCGCAAGGCGGCCAAGGCATTGGCCACGCGCCAAAAAACACTTTTCCGCACTCGTATCGAATTATACTATTTCATCACGCTGTGACTAAAAGTCCAATTTCCGTCACATTGTGATGAAAAATATTGTTCGTAACTCGTGAAAAAATGTTTTTTAGCTCGTGGGATTATATCATTCGCCTTCGGCTCGTGATATAAACCTCCCACTCGCCAAAAAACACTTTTCCACACTTGTATCGAATTATACTATTTTTCCTCTTCAAAATTCACCTCTCGCATGAGTAAACGATAAAAATCTCTACGCAGCTAATCCTTCACCCCTGTTTGCCGCAGGTGGTAATCTCGGTGCTGGTGGTGTAGCGGTATCGCTCTCCGACTCTCTCGTTGGACCGTGCCTCTCAAAATGATGCTGCATACTGTCACTATTCCAAGTAGGTACACTAGCTGAATTTTGATTACCAGTATTGGAAGACGGTGTGCCAGGTGAGTGTGACGGTGATGGTGTGTGAAATAGCATTGAGCCAGATGGTACAAGTGGTTTACCATCATCAAGTGGACTGTTTGACGTTACAACCGGTTGTTTTTCCATTGAAAAACCATTACCACTTGTTGAATTACTCAAACCACCACCATATATCGTACCAAATAGACCAGCGTATTTACTCGCTGATACAGGATGACTAACTGGCAATCCATTATTACTTTGTATCACTGATATCTCGTTCAGCTGTAAGTAATGCAGGCCGGGCGGTTAGGTTTAATTGCGGTATAATTACCTACAAAGTAAGAAAAAATAATAATAAAAATACGGGGGATTGAGTGTACGGTGACTGG